CCTTATGAGTGTAGCGAATGTGGGAAATCCTTTAGTCAAAACTCTACCCTCATTCAACACCGAAAAATTCACACTGGAGAAAAGCCTTTTAAGTGCAATGAATGTGGAAGATTCTTTAGTGAAAATTCCAGCCTTGTTAAACATTGGAGAGTTCACACTGGAGCAAAGCCTTATGAGTGCAGCGAATGTGGCAAATTTTTTCGCCACAACTCGAGCCTTGCTAGACATCGGCGAATTCACACTGGAGAAATGCCTGTGGGTGCAGCGACTGTGGGAAATCCTTTAGTCAGCAATTCAACCTCGTGCAACACCAGAGAGTTCACAGTGGAGAAAAGTCTTTTGAGTGTAGCAAACGTGGGAAACCCTTTAGGCACAACTCCATGCTTATTGGGCACCAGAGGATTCACACTGGAGAAAGGGCTTAATGCAGCAAATGCGGGAAATTCTTTAGCCACACCTCCAGCCTCATCAACACTAGAGAGTTCACACTGGAGAAAGGCCTTATGAATGCAGCTAATGTGTGGAAATGGTTTATCAAATGGCCCCATCTGATTCAGCACCAACAAGTTTTCCACAGAGAATGGTCTAATGAATGTAGCAAATGTAGAAGAGCCTTGAACTAAAGGTCTTCTCTGATTCAGCAACTGAAACAGGCCTTAAGATCACTGTGAATGTGAGGAAAGGCTTTGGCCAAAGCATCACCTGTTTGGTACCAGAAAGTTCAGACTTGAGAAAGCCCCTAGGAGTGTAGGGAATTCACTGTCTTGTTCAATGTAACCTGATTTAGAACAGAGAAAAGCTCTGAGAGTAGTTTTTACTAGGGAGCCATCAATTGAACTTAACCCAAATATGCACACTAAGAAGATTTACAATGAATGTTAGGTGTGATGGAAGACTTCTGGAGCTGTACTGAATGTTATCACCTGCCCAAGGACTTTATCAGAGTATGTAATGGCCATCTCAACTCTCCAGCTGGTTGATCTCCACAGTGTGCATCATTTGCTAACTGTTATTGACTTGTTGGCAATTTGTGGTGGCAGAATCAACCAATTGGTGGTGGTGGAATTGCCGACAAGTCCATTCCTCTAAAAGAAAGAGGCAGCATTAGGGTTTTCTTTTTTTTTTTTTTTTAAATTCTTAAACCCATTTACATTTAGTGTTATTATTAGTATATATATAGTGTTAGTAAGATTTACGATTGCTGTCTTACTTTTTGTTTTCTATACATCTCATGTCATTTTGTTCCTTTATTCCTCTTTTTTTTGCATTAAGTGAATATTTTCTAATGTAGAGTTTTATTTCACTGTATTTTTTGAGTTATTTCCTTTAGTGGTTGCTTAAGGTTGCCGTTGTCAAAAGAAAAATCTGACCAATGAGTCACTTAGGCATATACCTGGGCCTCCAGGACAGAGTCCCTGCTTTCCTCTCTGAGGCCACGTCCCCACCACTTGCTTAGGTGGCTGCATCCTGGCTTTCCTCTCTCAGTCTTCTGAGGCCAAGTCCCGACTTTCCATCACAGAGGGCTGAATCTCTCAGAAGTCGCTAGGAAGTGCTAGACAAGCCCACTGGAACACGGGCCAACCAGCTAGGGGCTCTGACCCCAACCCAGTTGTTTCTCAACCTGGTTCTTGGCCCTGGGACGTTGGAGATTGGCAGGATTGGCTCTAGCACTCTGGGTGGGAACTCAGAACATTTTTTCCAAAGACACTTCCTGTTCTTGGGCCCCATGTGGGTCCCAGTCTGCTCTCAGGGAGACCTCCCTTGGTCATTTTCAATGTCCTAGTCTGTCCCGCTGGCAGAGTGGGTCCCCACGTGTGGGTCGAGCATACTTTGTGAACCCAGGACCCCAACGTGGAGCAGAGATGAGAGGCAGCCCCTCTCCTGCACGCCTGTCGGGACAACATCAGAGACCAGCCGAGAGGGCAGGATTCTGTCAAGACAATGTGGCCCTCGTGCTGGACTCCATGGCAGGCCACACAGCTAAACCCTCCTCAACTTGTGCAACCCAAATGGATCAAGATCCTGAGGTGGTGGTGTACCCCTGGCACCCTGGACTCCACCCCAACACTTCATGACCCTGGTTATAGGGTCGGGAAAATTGCTGGGAGGCAGAACAAGCAGGCGAAGAGCCCCAGAGACTTGGTCTTAGAGGAGGGGCCCTGCAAAGATGGAGGGCCATAGGCAGCCCCAAGCTGGGCACTGCCAGCCAGCCATGGTGCATGCACACAAGGAACTGAATGCAGCTTCTAAAAGAAGGAGGCATCATTGGGTTTTACCAGGTGTCGAGATAAGGTGGTATCAGGTGTAAGATGAGGAAGAAGCATTAGGTTGTCTGAGATTAAGTGAAGGAAGCACACTTCAGATCCATCTACAAAGTATGACTTGACTTGAAATAGAAAAAACAGAGTGTTTAGGAATCTATTTGAACACACAGACACACAGCGGAGCACACATGTAAACACAGTCCAGGAAGCACAATACTACACTATAAACTTTTTTTCTCCAGGGGGTAGGATTATCAGAGACTTTTTTCACTTTCTATTTTATAAATGTATATAGTGTAGTATTTCCTTAATAAATAATAGAAAACGACACTCAACATTAATTTTTTAAAAAAGAA